ACCGCCAATAAAGTTACAGCCCTCCATCCACTGCTTCAAAAGTCTTCTCTAGCACATATGAGACTTCAGGTAAAATATGATGATCACCACCCCCTTGGAACCCAATAATCTGAGTCGGCGGGTTTTTTTATGACTGGTAAAATTTTTGACCGGGAAAAATATGGCGGAATCTTCCAAAACCCACCACTTTATCCCGGTTATAATAATCCCGAGTAAGGTAGAAATAAAATACGTCAAAAATACGTTAAAATACGTTTGCCTATTTTTTTCGTAATTGCATTCAAAAACTTAATAAGTTATGTCTTTCGTTCGCAATTTTTTCAGACACATCGTCATTACGGTTCAATTTCATTTATTTTGTTCCCTTGAACGGGATTGGAATTTACTTTTGGAATTGAACGCAGAAAAATATTCATATTTGTGTAGAAAATCGTCCGTAAAAAAGTTTCAATAAATACACAATTAAGAACACAATTACTCAGATGAATCGTAATCATCATTGAAATCACATTTCTCCATGTTTTTGATAAGTCGAAGGTTGGCATTAATGCCTACTAGCTTTATGGCCTTATCCGTTGCTAGTCTATTTCTGCGTTTATCAACAATATATTCCCAAGAGGACCAGTTAGTTTCACAGGCAGAAGCACTACAGACGAGGCTCAGAATTTTCTTCGCCATTATTTGAAGCTCTGGCGTTGCTGCACCGAACGAATCCCACCACGTACAAGGATCTAGCTTTGTAGCTCCGTCAATGGCAGATTGCCGGCCAAAAAGACCTTGATTGGGCGACATCTGTCCGACAGCGACATCTGTCCGACAGCCGAATTAGGGATTTCGGACAGATGTCGCTGTCGGACAGGAGTCGTTTTTGGCGACATCTGTCCGAATTTTGGATCATATTGTAATTTCGGTTCACATTCGTATTTCACAAGCTCACGGGTAATCTCGTGACGTTCTAAAGCTGATGTGATCCCTTAAGATCTGATCCATCGATACGTGATTGACTAGTTGAGAACAGGATCGTGCTAGCCGTACCCTAACAAGCTGTCGATCACATCACAGTACATGAGTACATATAAGACAACAGTATGGAGATCACTTGAAACGACTTTGCACGCTTTGGTACGCTTTAGCACGTGCACAGTTCCCTTAAATCATACGCGAGGTGATAAACTACAGAGCTACGCGAGTTTTAATCAAACTTTTAACTTGTATAATTAGAAATAGTACTTATTATTTCATTGGAGCTCTTAATGCTACAAAATCACTTGTAACGTATTTTAACGAATTTTATTCAGCGAAAATAAAATACGCCGTATTTAACGTTTTTTTGATATTTTATAAAATACGTTAAATACGTATTTTTCAACTCTGTATGAAACTCTAGGTCTTGGTTTTTAGATATAAATGCTAAGATATATGTGATTTGATAACTTTTTTTCAAGCACGTTTATGAAGAGTTTCTTTTTGGCATAGATCCAATCAATAAAGCCATGCATCTAATGTCCGGCATAAGTTAACTATGTGTAACCATGGTAACTAGGGTAATGTCCGGCAACAGTTTTAGACGTTCCATGTTATTCCGGCACCCTGGAATTTTACCATAAAATCAAAAGTTTCGGTACCGTTTGAAACTTTACGGAAGTTTGGTGGTCCGACAATGTTTTTGGTCCGAAGTTGGCCGGTCCGGTCATTGCCGTTCCACTGTAAGCATTCAACTATAATCAATTTCTCTTTGTAACATCATATAAATACCTTTAAACACCGCAAAGTTCTAACTTGGCGCTGGTTTATCGAAGAGTTACCATGGTTACACATAGTAACCTTATCGAAGAGTCGAGGGATGGAGAAGATTTCAAACAGCTTGTTTTTATTTGATTTGAACAGTTTACTTTCACTTATCTGTCATTATCGATAATATCCTAGACTTACTTTCACCACATAACGTGTTGCTTTAAAGCAGTCTAGTTTGAAGTTCTACTTTTCATATACTTCACACGATGTATTCAAATAGAGTCCTCGAATGAAGCTGCCAAAGGCTGCTGTTTCAGGTAAATAGGTGCAATACAGAATACTTAACAGTTTTACTCATCATTATGGGTGTCTTCATCGTGACAAAGGGTAAGGTAGGACTTAACTAACTTGAGGTATTCTACTTAACTAACTAGAGGACTTAACTAACTTTAGGTATTCTACTTAACTAACTAGAGGACTTAACTAACTTTAGGTATTCTACTTAACTAACTAGAGGACTTAACTAACTTTAGGTATTCTACTTAACTAACTAGAGGACTTAACTAACTTTAGGTATTCTACTTAACTAACTAGAGGACTTAACTAACTTTAGGTATTCTACTTAACTAACTAGAGGACTTAACTAACTTTAGGTATTCTACTTAACTAACTAGAGGACTTAACTAACTTTAGGTATTCTATTACGGTCAATAATTTAGTTAGGTTTTTAGGACAGCTTGTACTTCTATACATATATTTGATATACAGGGTGGGCCAAAAGTCAGTACCCATACGTTTGGACTAGTATTTTTTTTCCCGATTAGTTGGGGCCCCACAACCCCCCATACCCGAGTGCTTCCCATTCCATTTTTGAGAGTTTGGCTTCTTTTTACAGCTAACATCCTTTAGTTCAAATTATAATTTTCTGATATAATTGGAGTATTAACCCTTATCTTTATTAAGTACTGAAGATGTCCGAAAATGTTTTACCAATGATGTTATAAAGATTTTGTTGGAATTTTTAAGCTCATTCGTTGTCTGACTGTGGGATTGTGGGAACTATTGATTCTTGACTGTACCTACTTGTTCGAGGATTCCGTCGCCAAAATTTGAAAATTCGAATATTTTAGACCACGCCCATTCAATATTAAAACACCTATATTGTTCTCTCTGAATATGTTGGACGCTTAATTTTAGCGTAGAATTTTATTTATTTCTCCATTCTATTTCTCCGATATATTTTCTACAACTATCAATTCCTTCTTTACCGTGACAATACCTGACAACCTCTGCAAAGTTATTATACTAGTTTTAAATTGACGTGCCAACTTAAGGTCATTGTCGGTCTATCAAAGAATAGAGAAAGTTTCAAACAACCGGGTTTTTTACATTTTAGTTCCTGAATAATGCATGGCTTTTACTAAATCAAGTTTTCTCATTTTTTACTAAAATAGCACATACTTGGTTCTTTTTGAAAACTTTACGAGCTTCTCCTATTAATATTATGACTATAGTCTTTCTAAAACCAGTAACTTGGGGGGAAATAGAATAACAAGAACTTCATTAGTTTATTTCCTTGTTGAATTCCAACTGTGATTATTTTCGGATCTCCCGATGAATCCGGAGAAATAACTTATTACAATGTGTTTTTAATGAAACTATTGCTGGATGAGTGTTGAGTAACTGAATCACTTGTGAATGTGGGGTGATCACGTTAATTCATGATTAACTTTCTTATAACTCGAGAAGAACAAGAACGGAGTAAATATTTATAATCATTTCGTCATCAATACAAAATGTACCTTATCAAACAATCTCCAAAATTTGTGAAATTTAGGAATTCAAACAATCAGTTATTTATTAGAATCAGTCATATATTAGAATTTGCTATAACATGCACTTCTTGATTTCTACCGTTATTTTTCATTGACAATCATTACAACACATTCCAACTGTGAACTGTGTTCATAAGTCCCTATTGTTTTCTGATCCTCTATTTGCAACAGGAATATATTGCGAGATGTGCGTTGAAGCCTGCGCTACTGGATGAGCAACTACCACCGGGACACCTAACGTTGCTGTCTCCGAATGTTGCAGGTATCATCCACCCTCCTGTATTCCTATGAGTGTATATTCCGCCTATAAACGCAGCATATCTAGTAAATCCCGCCGGACAACTTCCCCCACTACTTAAGAAACAAAACGATCCTTTCAGCCATGAAATATGCTCTAATTCCACAGATGCAGCATTGGCTTTATTCTCCAATGTACCCACTTTCTCTTGCATGGTCGTCATCTTACTGTTGAACGAGGATGCTCCATTAAACAACTCAGCTTGTTTCTCCTCCAAGGTTTCCACTTTCTCTTGTGTGGTCGTCATCTTACTGTTGAACGAGGATGTTGCATTCATCAACTCAGCTTGTTTCTCCTCCAAGGTATCCACTTTCCCTTGTGTGGTCGTCATCTTACTGTTGTACGAGGATGTTGCATTCACCAACTCAGCTTGTTTCTCCTCCAAGGTATCCACTTTCCCTTGTGTGGTCGTCATCTCACTTTTGAACGAGGATGTTGCATTCATCAACTCAGCTTGTTTCTCCTCCAAGGTATCCACTTTCCCTTGTGTGGTCGTCATCTTACTGTTGAACGAGGATGTTGCATTCATCAACTCAGCTTGTTTCTCCTCCAAGGTATCCACTTTCCCTTGTGTGGTCGTCATCTTACTGTTGAACGAGGATGCTCCATTAATCAACTCAGCTTGTTTCTCCTCCAAGGTATCCACTTTCCCTTGTGTGGTCGTCATCTTACTGTTGAACGAGGATGCTCCATTAATCAACTCAGCTTGTTTCTCCTCCAAGGTGCTCAACCTCCTTTTTGTTGTCGACAGCTTACTTTTTAACTCACCTTTTAACTCACCTTTTAGCTCACTTATCAACTCCTCTTTAAGCTGCTCGATCTCAACCCTCGCTTCATCCAACTTGGTTGTCAAGGAGGCGATTTTCTCACCTTGGTGTGTCGTGAGTTTGTTCAGGAGAGAGATACTATCTTGTATTGATGCTATCAATACGTCCTGGACAAATATTGCCATAAACAAGTAGCTTGCTGGTAGTGATACACATAGCATCGTTTGAAATATTTTGCATGGTTATAGATAGATGGAAACTTGGGAAAAAGGTAATTCTCTTAGTGTTAACTGTTGGTTTCAAATAATTTTAGACCTTACAAAGCTATGTATGTATTTTATCCCAATATAACTTTAAATCCACCTACCGATACCACTGGTGGTGGTCGTCGTCGTACCCCAACTACTTCATGCAGGCTGCAAAACAGAAGAACAGTACAGCAGAGTGTATGTGGAAAAACTGTCATTTTAGCAACTATGTGGGAGATATCGAGTAATCACGTGATGATATTATTGGTAAACAGTTATTAGAAGCAACTTGAAAATGGTTAAATAGATTATATCGTCCATTATATTATATCAATGTCAGTACAATTAAGAATAATGTTAAGAAACGGATATTCATTGTGGAGTAAAATAAGTCAGCAAATTAAGCGTTGGAAATGCAATGTGGGTGTTTCTATGACCGCAAATGCAATAACGATAAATGACGGAAATTAATATGACCGCAAAGATGACGGAAATTAATATGACCGCAAAGATGACGGAAATTAATATGACCGCAAAGATGACGGAAATTAATATGACCGCAAAGACTCAAAATATATAAAAACCCTGTGGTTTTCATAAGCGGCCCCTTTTTCGATAAAATTGGCATAACGCGCCTTTTTAATTTGTTCTCCAAAAGTTCGAACTTTCGACCCCGGCCTAATTAAGATTCATTATGTTATCGTCAAATAAACCAGGAACAGTGGCTGGTGGTTTAATTTTGAATTATGATAACGGTGGGTTTTTAAGGCTTAAAGCATTGTAAGAAAATGTAATTTACTCTTCATGGTTATTGTTATTTATTATTCATTGTGACGTAGAGTCCGAATATGAGAATTACTCTGTAACCGTTATCTTTTGTGGACTTACTACTTTGTTCCTTGCTTAGCAATAGCAGTAAAGTGGGGCTGCTAACGAAAATGTTTTCAATAAACCACATTTAGATAACGGTATTAATATATTATAGCTCGATGAAAATGTAACATCGCGAAGGTGGCGAGATTAAACGGAGTAATAAGGAGCACTTTTGAGATATTAAAATATTCTCCTTGAAATAAAACAACGATGATTGAACAAAAAAACTGGAGCAGACTGAGCACAGTGATCCAAAAGGCAACATCACTGGGTTGGCAGGATGATGCAAGTCGCAGAATTTCAGCACTCTCAACTCTGTTGAAGGCCCGGCCGGTCCATCAAATACACGATGTTAATATGTTATTTAAAGGTTGGTGTCCAGACTCCAGGCAACTGCTTGTGTCTTATGTCACGTGACCGATTAAGTGTTTTATAATAATGTGTTAATATAACAGGGGGATGCGATTCAAGGCAGATCGCTGATCTATTTCTGCACTGGCTTATGCATAAAAAACTTAGGAATGATCTCCCTTGGGATAGTCTCATTGAACTGTTTTTACGCTACATCGATGACTGCTTCATAATCTGGAAGGGTACGGCAAGGCAGTTTGATTCTTTTGTACAGAAACTGAACCAACTGGCAGCGGAATACGGGATAAGGTTTGGCAGCTGGGAATTGGGGAAGGAGGTGAATTTCCTGGACATAACCTTGTATTTGGACACAACCAACAAGATCCAATATAAGCTCTACACCAAACCGACAGATGCCAGGAATTTTCTCCGTACTGACAGTTTCCACCCAAATCACGTGTTTAACTCCGTAGCCTTCTCCCAAATGCTTCGGATTGCTAACAGGAACTCAAGAGAGGACACACGGCAGGCGGACCTACAGCAATTGAAATCGGATTTGCGTCGTAGTGGACACGACTCAGCGAAACTGAACGCCTTAGAGCCAAAAGTGTTGGAGAAGCTGTTCAATCCTCCACCCAACTCAGAAGGAAGTGTTCATGTTCCCCAAAAAACTTCCATGGTGTTTTCAGTCCAACACCTCTCGGAGATGCCCCAGCTTAAATCAGTCTTAAAGGAGTTGGAACCGGACATTGAAGCACTATTAGGCCCAACACAAATCACGGTGGCATCGAAGAAAGGCTGCTCGATTGGTAACAGAGTACTGAGAAACAGTGCTATCTGCAGAACACCGGCAGAAAATAATTCAGAGTGGACTCAGAAATGCAATGCACCAAGATGCCGAACATGCAGGCATATGTGTAGGGCAGGGGAAGAATTTGTAGTTAATGGACAGAAGATAGTAGTTCCTATCAGATATAATTGTAAATCTAAAAATGTTATTTATGTGGCCCAATGTAAGCTTTGTAATCTTATAAAGGAAGAAGGTTATGAGATAGTTGTAGAAGACACTTATTTCGGGCAAACAATGCAAAACTTTCATAAACGTGTCAATGGACACAGAGCCTGTTTTAAAGTAGAGGATCGTAATAAATCAGCCCTTTCGATTCATGCCTATGAACATCACAGAGACATTTTTACTATTGACAACTATAAATTTGCCATTTTGAAAGAATGTAACCCCAGGGGATTAAATAGGGAGGAATTTAGGTATATTGAGAAGTATAGAACTAATTGCTTGGGTTTAAATAGATGCAAAGTTGAAAGATAAGGTTCTTAGTTTTTATTTCTTCTTTTTTGAAGCTTCATTTTTGAAGCTATATTTTTGTGTAGTTCATCTCCATTTACCTTGTGTATTTTATTTAGGTTATTTGATTCTCGATTGTTTGAGGCATTTTAGATCTTCGTATATATAGTACTAATAAATCTAACCAACTTAATCCCTTTGTAGCTAATGATGTAATTTAACGAAGTATACACTACATTTGCGTGTTTCACTGTCTAGCCCACCAACCATAAGATATAATAAATGGTCACATGATCTGATGATCCCGTGATTTGATTCCAATGGGTGGCAGACGATCCAGATATTGCCGGATGGAGGATGAATTCTCCGCATTCCAACAGTATCTTGTGTTGTTCACTGTGCTGATTCCGGGAAGCATTCTCTTTATGCTCTCGTTATATTGTACGATAAGATAACGTTTATTTAAAATTGGATAATTATGGACCTGTCAAGGATTGCAGCCCAGTTAAGAGCTGGTCAACTGCTATCTCGAAAAAACGTTTCACAACAAACAAAACCCCCTTACATACCCAAGATTGCCGATATTGCGAAATTTCCAGAACAAAAATCGTTAACTGGGTAAAACGCACTGTAACACTGGTAACAGTAACCATGCTTATAACCATGGTAACCAGTTATTTGAGAATTTTCTGTACTCTGTACTCATACTCAGGGCCCGTTTATAATGTTGACCGCTAATGCAGGTTTGGTAACGCTTAAATTAGGTCCGATTTGGGAGTATTTTACTTACTGAGTACTATAAAGTTATTATATCGTTAACTTCAGCCAATCTCGACCTGAATCCTTTCACCTCCCCTTAAAGGCGTGACATTACATTATTATTGACATTACAAACTTCCCCAACGATTAAAAGTGCAAACTTAAAGGGATTGGCGGTTTCTCAAAGACTTTTTGAATGAAAAACGATCTCAAACAGGTAAGTTTTTTAGTTTGTGCATTGTGAGTGGCTTCTACTAATTTAAAGTTTTCTCTTTTAAGCATAATATATAATATATAATAGCGCATACTTCTTTTCATACCTTCATCGGAAAACTATGAAGAAATGTTTTAGATCACAATATAAATTGCAACTAAAAGGATTCACACGTGTGCACAACTCAACAGTAACCATGGTAACTAACAACTCAACAGTTATCACTTATCATCACAATTCTTCAAAATAACCTCACAAACTTATAGCAATATTGCTATGGAGTGGTTAGGACTTTAGGATTCATACTGTTGAAATGAACGAACAGGTTTTAATTTTAAGATTCAAGCGTCGAATTTTAGTTATTTCTCCATTCTATTTATCCATTCTATTTATCCATTATATTTTCTACAACTATCAATTCCTTCTTTACCGTGACAATACCTGACAACCTCCGCAAAGTTATTATATTAGTTTTAAATTGACGTGCTAACTTAAGGTCATTGTCGGTCTATCAAAGAATAGAGAAAGTTTCGAACAACCGGGTTTTTTACATGTTAGTTTCTGAATAATGCATGGCTTTTACTAAATCAAGTTTTCTCATTTTTTACTAAAATAGCAGTACATACTTGGTTCTTTTTGAAAACTTTAAGAGCTTCTCCTATTAATATTATGACTATAGTCTTTCTAAAACTAGTAACTTGGGGGGAAAATATATATAGAATCATCATGACAAGCTTATATGGTATATTTATTCTAACCGCTACTGCAGTGCATGTAAAAAAATGAATTGTTTAGTTTTTCCACTTTTCTGTCATCCTCATACCTGACCTATTTTCAACAAAGGGTCGACCGAGGGCAGGATTTGCGACCGAGACCGAGGAAATTTTGCTTTGATAAAACCGAGGCCGAGGCAAACCGAGGAATTGTCCTCCTGACCGAGGCCGAGGCCGAGGAAAAATCGCTATTCCTCGGTAAAACCGAGGCCGAGGACTCGGTCGACCCTTGTTTTAAACTGCTCATACCATGATTACCATATATGTTGACCCCCTCCCTATGTAGTATATGCAAGGTTTAAAGGAAGTCTAGTTTACTTTTGTACTTAGAACTTTATAAATTCCTCTAAATATTCAGCTCAAGTGTCCACTAGCTGGTCTTAATGATCCCGGGGGGGGGGGGGGGGGCTCCTATATTACCGGGGGGGGGGGGGGGCTCCTATATTACCGGGGGGGGGGGGGGCTCCTATATTACCGGGGGGGGGGGGGCTCCTATATTACCGGGGGGGGGGGGGCTCCTATATTACCGGGGGGGGGGGGCTCCTATATTACCGGGGGGGGGGGGGCTCCTATATTACCGGGGGGGGGGGGGCTCCTATATTACCGGGGGGGGGGGGGGCTCCTATATTACCGGGGGGGGGGGGGGCTCCTATATTACCGGGGGGGGGGGGGGGGGGCTCCTATATTACCGGGGGGGGGGGGGGCTCCCTGGGGAGGGGGGATCCCTGAAATAAGTGGATGGTTTGGAAAAGGAGGGCGAAGGAAAATTATCATTGTTACTTACTGGGAATAGTGATTAGAGTGATTATGACGGAATAAGTTTAGTTTTTTGGTGTTCTTTGTAGACTGGTTATTACCTAACTCCGCAAGCATTTAGATGTTTTAAACG